TTATCTGACCTGACATGGATAGTCCATATGAAACCATTATCTGACCTGACATGGATAGTGCATATGAAACCATTATCTGACCTGACATGGATAGTCCATATGAAACCATTATCTGACCTGACATGGATAGTCCATATGAAACCATTATCTGACCTGACATGAATAGTCCATATGAAACCATTATCTGACCTGACATGGATAGTCCATATGAAACCATTATCTGACCTGACATGAATAGTCCATATGAAACCATTATCTGACCTGACATGGATAGTGCTTATGAAACCATTATCTGACCTGACATGGATAGTCCATATGAAACCATTATCTGACCTGACATGGATAGTGCATATGAAACCATTATCTGACCAGGGACTATCTGCTCATATGAAACCATTATCTGACCTGACATGAATAGTGCTTATGAAACCATTATCTGACCTGACATGGATAGTCCATATGAAACCATTATCTGACCTGACATGGATAGTCCATATGAAACCATTATCTGACCTGACATGGATAGTCCATATGAAACCATTATCTGACCTGACATGAATAGTGCATATGAAACCATTATCTGACCTGACATGAATAGTGCATATGAAACCATTATCTGACCAGGGACTATCTGCTCATATGAAACCATTATCTGACCTGACATGGATAGTGCATATGAAACCATTATCTGACCTGACATGGATAGTCCATATGAAACCATTATCTGACCTGACATGGATAGTCCATATGAAACCATTATCTGACCTGACATGGATAGTGCATATGAAACCATTATCTGACCTGACATGGATAGTGCATATGAAACCATTATCTGACCTGACATGGATAGTGCATATGAAACCATTATCTGACCTGACATGGATAGTGCATATGAAACCATTATCTGACCAGGGACTATCTGCTCATATGAAACCATTATCTGACCTGACATGGATAGTCCATATGAAACCATTATCTGACCTGACATGGATAGTGCATATGAAACCATTATCTGACCTGACATGGATAGTGCATATGAAACCATTATCTGACCTGACATGGATAGTCCATATGAAACCATTATCTGACCTGACATGGATAGTGCATATGAAACCATTATCTGACCTGACATGGATAGTGCATATGAAACCATTATCTGACCTGACATGGATAGTGCATATGAAACCATTATCTGACCTGACATGGATAGTCCATATGAAACCATTATCTGACCTGACATGGATAGTCCATATGAAACCATTATCTGACCTGACATGGATAGTCCATATGAAACCATTATCTGACCTGACATGGATAGTGCTTATGAAACCATTATCTGACCTGACATGGATAGTCCATATGAAACCATTATCTGACCTGACATGAATAGTGCATATGAAACCATTATCTGACCTGACATGGATAGTCCATATGAAACCATTATCTGACCTGACATGGATAGTCCATATGAAACCATTATCTGACCTGACATGAATAGTCCATATGAAACCATTATCTGACCTGACATGGATAGTGCATATGAAACCATTATCTGACCTGACATGGATAGTGCATATGAAACCATTATCTGACCTGACATGGATAGTGCTTATGAAACCATTATCTGACCAGGGACTATCTGCTCATATGAAACCATTATCTGACCTGACATGAATAGTGCATATGAAACCATTATCTGACCTGACATGGATAGTGCATATGAAACCATTATCTGACCAGGGACTATCTGCTCATATGAAACCATTATCTGACCAGGGACTATCTGCTCATGATATACCGGCTACTACAGGCAGCCATACTGTACTGTTCATGATCGGTCGCTCCCATTCAGATATACAGGAAAAAGACTCACAGCATTACTACTCTCTAATAGTGGATTGTTGCTTTTGTTTTAAGTACAGTCAATGCAGTTATTTACAATTAGAATAATCAAACTCATCTAAAGTACAAAAAGTCAAAGTACAAAAAGTTGTTAGAAGATCATGCTATCAGATATCTGGTATCTACCTGCCCTGAATGCAAAGTCTACCTAATTTTCCATTGTTTTGAAAAGTAACCTGATCAACATTGTGATGGATGAGTTAACAGTTCTTCAACAGTTTTGTGGTGAACATTCACACCACAGAGTCATAAAACATCTTATCTAACAGGATGAACATCATATAATTCATATGTCTTTACTTTCTGGTCAGTGCTTCAGTTCAGAATCCTCTGAAATTTACACAAACCATCGTTGGGACGTATCTTTCTACAGTCAGATTCTACTGTTAATACAGTCTCTACTTTCTCAGTCTTTAACCCTGAAACCATCCTCACTGGGATCTGATATACATATACAGTGAGGGAAAAAAGTATTTGATCCCCTGCTGATTTTGTACTTTTGCCCACTGACAAAGAAATGATCAGTCTATAATTTTAATGGTAGGTTTATTTCAACAGTGAGAGACAGAATAACAACAACAAAATCCAGAAAAACGCATGTCAAAAATGTTATACATTGATTTGCATTTTAATGAGGGAAATAAGTATTTTACCCCCTCTCAATCAGAAAGATTTCTGGCTCCCAGGTGTCTTTTATACAGGTAACGAGCTGAGATTAGGAGCACACTCTTTAAGGGAGTGCTCCTAATCTCAGTTTGTTACCTGTATAAAAGACACCTGTCCACAGAAGCAATCAATCAATCAGATTCCAAACTCTCCACCATGGCCAAGACCAAAGAGCTCTCCAAGGATGTCAGGGACAAGATTGTAGACCTACACAAGGCTGGAATGGGCTACAATACCATCGCCAAGCAGCTTGGTGAGAAGGTGACAACAGTTGGTGCGATTATTCGCAAATGGAAGAAACACAAAATAACTGTCAATCTCCCTCGGCCTGGGGCTCCATGCAAGATCTCACCTCGTGGAGTTGCAATGATCATGAGAACGGTGAGGAATCAGCCCAGAACTACACGTCAATGATCTCAAGGCAGCTGGGACCATAGTCAACCAAGAAAACAATTGGTAACACACTACGCCGTGAAGGACTGAAATCCTGCAGCGCCCGCAAGGTCCCCCTGCTCAAGAAAGCACATATACAGGCCCATCTGAAGTTTGCCAATGAACATCTGAATGATTCAGAGGAGAACTGGGTGAAAGTGTTGTGGTCAGATGAGACCAAAATCGAGCTCTTTGGGATCAACTCAACTCGCCGTGTTTGGAGGAGGAGGAATGCTGCCTATGACCCCAAAAACACCATCCCCACCGTCAAACATGGAGGTGGAAACATTATGCTTTGGGGGTGTTTTTCTCCTAAGGGGACAGGACAACTTCACCGCATCAAAGGGATGATGGACGGGGCCATGTACCGTCAAATCTTGGGTGAGAACCTCCTTCCCTCAGCCAGGGCATTGAAAATGGGTCGTGGATGGGTATTCCAGCATGACCATGACCCAAAACACATGGCCAAGGCAACAAAGGAGTGGCTCAAGAAGAAGCACATTAAGGTCCTGGAGTGGCCTAGCCAGTCTCCAGACCTTAATCCCATAGAAAATCTGTGGAGGGAGCTGAAGGTTCGAGTTGCCAAACGTCAGCCTCGAAACCTTAATGACTTGGAGAAGATCTGCAAAGAGGAGTGGAACAAAATCCCTCCTGAGATGTGTGCAAACCTGGTGGCCAACTACAAGAAACGTCTGACCTCTGTGATTGCCAACAAGGGTTTTGCCACCAAGTACTAAGTCATGTTTTGCAGAGGGGTCAAATACTTATTTCCCTCATTAAAATGCAAATCAATTTATAACATTTCTGACATGCGTTTTTCTGGATTTTGTTGTTGTTATTCTCTCTCACTGTTCAAATAAACCTACCATTCAAATTATAGACTGATCATTTCTTTGTCAGTGGGCAAACGTACAAAATCAGCAGGGGATCAAATACTTTTTTCCCTCACTGTACACTACCGTTCAAAAGTTTGGGGTCACTTAGAAATGTCCTTGTTTTTTTTGTCCATTAAAATAACATCAAATTGATCGGAAATACAGTGTAGACATTGTTACTGTTGTAAATGGCTATTGTAGCTGGAAACGGCTGATTTTTAATGGAATATCTACATAGGCGTACAGAGGCCCATTATCAGCAACCATCAGTCATGTGCTCCAATGGCACGTTGTGTTTGCTCATCCAAGTTTATCATTTTAAAAGGCTAATTGATCATTAGAAAACCCTTTTGCAATTATGTTAGCACAGCTGAAAACTGTTGTGCTGATTAAAGAAGCAATAAAACTGGCCTTCTTGAGACTAGTTGAGTATCTGGAGCATCAGCAATTGTGGGTTCGATTACAGGATCAAAATGGCCAGAAACAAAGAACTTTCTTCAGCAAGCATCAGCAATTGTGGGTGGCAATTTCTCGCATGGAATAGCCTTCATTTCTCAGAAAAAAAATAGACTGACGAGTTTCAGAAGAAAGTTATTTGTTTCTGGCCATTTTGATCCTGTAATCGAATCCACAATTGCTGATGCTCCAGATACTCAACTAGTCTCAAGAAGGCCAGTTTTATTGATTCTTTAATCAGCACAACAGTTTTCAGCTGTGCTAACATAATTGCAAAAGGGTTTTCTAATGATCAATTAGCCTTTTAAAATGATAAACTTGGATGAGCAAACACAACGTGCCATTGGAACACAGGACTGATGGTTGCTGATAATGGGCCTCTGTACGCCTATGTAGATATTCCATTAAAAATCAGCCGTTTCCAGCTACAATAGCCATTTACAACAGTAACAATGTCTACACTGTATTTCTGATCAATTTGATGTTATTTTAATGGACAACATTTTTTGCTTTTCTATCGAAAACAAGGACATTTCTAAGTGACCCCAAACTTTTGATCGGTAGCGTATGAAATGGCACCATATTCCCTATCTTTTGAACTACATAGGGAATAGGGTAATTTTGGACTTACAGATACAAAGTTATAGAACTCTAATGCTTTTCTTCAGGTCAATGCCTAGTGGAGACAAAGTTCTCCTGTTGACAGATGAGTTCCACGGCGTTGTTTACATCCTGTACGATGTGTCCCGGTTCCATCAGGGCCGGGTCGAAGCGGAAGTCCCGGTGGCCATGGAACACAGTCTCGGTGATACTGCAGCTGGCGTCGGCTGGCACCTCGCTGTGGGGGTTATAGACACCGGTACACACCAGCAGGGACTTACAGGAGGTGGCGGAGGGGGAGGCCAGCTCGCTCTCCCAGGCCGTCTCCATGTCCTGGTCCTGGAGAAGGGCTTTAGGGGACACCCCGCCCCCTGTACCCCCCACCGTGGCCTGCACTACTTGGGCAGCAGTCTGCCTGGTACGGCCCCTCTCCTCCAGGTAGCGGTTATACAGGTTGGCTCCATAGATATCTGTCATCAGGTTGTCTCTTTGTTAGGAGGAATATAGGTTGGAACACTAGTTATAAGGAAAAGGGTATCTAATAACATGTCAATACAATATCATTACAGCAATACTACATACAGTGCCTTGCAGAAGTATTCATCCCCCTTGGCGTTTTTCCTATTTTGTTGCATTACAACCTGTAATTTAAATGGATTTTTATTTGCATTTCATGTAATACACATACACAAAATAGTCCAAATTGGTGAAGTGAAATGAAAAAAATTACTTGTTTAAAAAAATTCTAAAAAAAAAATAACGGAAAAGTGGTGCGTGCATATGTTTTCACCACCTTTGCTATGAAGCCCCTAAATAAGATCTGGTGCAACCAATTACCTTCAGAAGTCACATGATTAGTTAAATAAAGTTAATCTGTGTGCAATCTAAGTGTCACATGATCTCAGTATATATACACCTGTTTTGAAAGGCCCCAGAGTTTGCAACACCACTAAGCAAGGGGCACCACCAAGCAAGCGGCACCATGAAGACCAAGGAGCTCTCCAAACAAGTCAGGGAAAAAGTTGTGGAGAAGTACAGATCAGGGTTGGGTTATAAAAAAAATATCAGAAACTTTGAACATCCCACGGAGCACCATTAAATCCATTATAAAAAATTGAAAGAATATGGCACCACAACAAACCTGCCAAGAGAGGGCAGCAAAGAGCCCAAAGATAACCCTGAAGGAGCTGCAAAGCTCCACAGCGGAGATTGGAGTATCTGTCCATAGGAACACTTTAAGCCGTACACTCCACAGAGCTGGGCTTTACGGAAGAGTGGCCAGAAAAAAGCCATTGCTTAAAGAAAAAAATAAGCAAACACGTTTGGTGTTCGCCAAAAGCCATGTGGGAGACTCCCCCAAACATATGGAAGAAGGTACTCTGGTCAGATGAGACTAAAATTGAGCTTTTTGGCCATCAAGGAAAATGCTATGTCTGGCACAAACCCATCACCCCGAGAACACCATCCCCACAGTGAAGCATGGTAGTGGCAGCATCATGCTGTGGGGATGTTTCTCATCGGCAGGGACTGGGAAACTGGTCAGAATTGAAGGAATGATGGATGGCGCTAAATACAGGGAAATACTTGAGGGAAAGAAGTTTCAGTCTTCCAGAGATTTGAGACTGGGACAGAGGTTCACCTTCCAGCAGGACAATGACCCTAAGCATACTGCTACAGCAACACTTGAGTGGTTTAAGGGGAAACATTTAAATGTTTTGGAATGGCCTAGTCAAAGCCCAGACCTCAATCCAATTGAGAATCTGTGGTATGACTTAAAGATTGCTGTACACCGGCGGAACCCATCCAACTTGAAGGAGCTGGAGCAGTTTTGCCTCGAAGAATGGGCAAAAATCCCAGTGGCTAGATGTGCCAAGCTTATAGAGACATACCCCAAGAGACTTGCAGCTGTAATTGCTGCAAAAGGTGGGTCTACAAAGTATTGACTTTGGGGGGGTGAATAGTTATGTACGCTCAAGTTTTCTGTTTTTTTGTCTTATTTCTTGTTTGTTTCACAATCAAAAATATTTTGCATCTTCAAAGTGGTAGGCATGTTGTGTAAATGAAATTATACAACCCCCCCAAAAAAATCCATTTTAATTCCAGGTTGTAAGGCAACAAAATAGGAAAAATGCCAAGGGGGGTGAATACTTTCGCATGCCACTGTAGGTGTAACATGTCGATACAGTATAGTTCACAGCGTTACTACATATGTGTCAGGGAAAGGGTTTCTCACAGCTTGGTCTCAGATCGGTTTGTGCTGTAGTGTTTTGCTGCCTCCTATGGTTCCTTACCCGATAGCATAGATGTATAGTGTTCTGATGGGTGTAGGTTCTAACCCAATAGCATAGTGTATAGTGTTCTGATGGGTGTAGGTTCTAACCCAATAGTGTATAGTGTTCTGATGGGTGTAGGTTCTAACCCGATAGTGTTCTGATGGGTGTAGGTTCTAACCCGATAGTGTTCTGATGGGTGTAGGTTCTAACCCGATAGTGTTCTGATGGGTGTAGGTTCTAACCCGATAGTGTTCTGATGGGTGTAGGTTCTAACCCGATAGCGTATAGTGTTCTGATGGGTGTAGGTTCTAACCCGATAGTGTTCTGATGGGTGTAGGTTCTAACCCGATAGCGTATAGTGTTCTGATGGGTATAGGTTCTAACCCGATAGTGTTCTGATGGGTGTAGGTTCTAACCCGATAGTGTATAGTGTTCTGATGGGTGTAGGTTCTAACCCAATAGTGTATAGTGTTCTGATGGGTGTAGGTTCTAACCCGATAGTGTTCTGATGGATGTGGGTTCTAACCCAATAGTGTATAGTGTTCTGATGGGTGTAGGTTCTAACCCGATAGTGTATAGTGTTCTGATGGGTGTAGGTTCTAACCCGATAGTGTATAGTGTTCTGATGGGTGTAGGTTCTAACCCGATAGTGTTCTGATGGATGTGGGTTCTAACCCAATAGTGTATAGTGTTCTGATGGGTGTAGGTCTAAACCCGATAGTGTATAGTGTTCTGATGGGTGTAGGTTCTAACCCAATATGTATAGTGTTCTGATGGGTGTAGGTTCCTAACCCGATAGTGTTCTGATGGATGTGGTTCTAACCCAATAGTGTATAGTGTTCTGGATGGGTGGTAGGTTCTAACCCGATAGTGTTATGTGTTCTGATGGGTGTAGGTTCTAACCCAATAGTGTATAGTGTTCTGATGGGTGTAGGTTCGTAACCGCAATAGTGGTTCTGATGGATGTGGGTTCTAACCCAATAGTGTATAGTGTTCTGATGGGTGTAGGTTCTAACCCGATAGGTATAGTGTTCTGATGGGTGTAGGTTCTAAACCGATAGTGTATAGTGTTCTGATGGGTGTAGGTTCTAACCCAATAGTGTATAGGGTTCTGATGGGTGTAGGTTTCTAAACCCAATAGTGTATAGCTGTTCTGATGGGTGTGTAGGTTCTATAACCCGATAGCGTATAGTGTCTGAAGGTGTGATAGGTTTAACCGGTGTAGATTCTGGGGGTGTGGTTTCTAACCCTTTAGGTATAGTGTTCGATGGGATTTTCCCATAGGTATATTGTTTCTGAGGTTTTAAGTTTTTTCTCCTGTGTTTTGGTGTTTTGATTTTATTTTAAAACCCAAAAGGTGAAGGTTTGTGGGGTAGTTTCTAACCAATAGTGTAAAAAGGTTTTATTGGGTGAAAGGTTCTAACCCGATAGCGTAAAGTGTTCTGATGGGGGTCCTAACCCTTGCGAAGTGTTCTGATGGGGTATTCCCCCAAGTGTATAGTGTTCTGATGGGTTAGGTTCTAACCGTTTAGTGATACTGTTCTGATGGGTTGTAGGTTCTATCCTGATCGTGGCCCCTAGTGTGATAGAGGGTGTAGTTCTAACCGATAGTGTATAGTGTTATGATGGGTTTTATTTTTCTAACCGTTAGGTATAGTTTCTGATGGATTATTACCCATAGGGGTATAGTGTTCTGTCGTTAGGTCTGTCTTATGTGGTGGTGGTGTCTCTCTTGTCGTGATGTGTGTTTTGTCCTATATTTTTATTTTTAATCCCAGCCCCCGTCCCCGCAGGAGGCCTTTTGGTAGGCCGTCATTGTAAATCATAATTTTTTCTTAACTAACTTGACTAGTTAAATAAAGGTTAAATTAAAAAAATTAAAAAGGGTGTATAGTGTTCTGATGGGATTATTACCCGATAGCGTAGAGTGTTCTGATGGGGGTCCTCCAGCCTCTCTCTGCAGCCTGCTCCCTGATGAGGTACTCAGCGAAGTGATATGTTAGTTCAGAAGGTTTCCCCATCAGAGCTTCATACTTCAGCTCCTGACCCGTTATCTTCCTGTAGATGTTCTCCAGACACACAAGGAACATCCCGTGGCCAAACCTACGCAAGTACACACAAACACACACACACACAAACACACACAATAACAGACAGGAAAATCAACCAATGTGACCAAAACATTTGTCAACCATTGTTCCATGTTACTTAGTGTAATCTTTCTCAGTGACTTGTTACCGTGGAGACTGGGCCTCGGCCATCCACATCAGGTCCATGTTACAGGCCAGCAGTGGCAGGTGGGCGGAGTGACGTGTCTCATGGGCGTTACCCAGGCTCCCATTGGTCAGCAACACGTCAATGATCAGCTGCAGGTTGGTCTCCCATCGGATTGGCTCGCCAAACAGGATGACCGCTGTGACCAGGAAAAAAGAGAAATAACATCATTATCAACGTCAATAAATCTTGAGTTTACATTTGTCTTATAAATCTGAAAGATTATTCTACATGTAGAACCATTATTTGGAGAAAATGTACTATGATATGAACAATATGCTTCTTACCTTGAACTATAGGGAGGTTCACAATAGGTGAAGACTGCAACAAGAGAAGAATAACATTCAGGACACCAGAGTACATTCACCCTAAAGTGTCCCTAGGATACCAGAGTACATTCACCCTATAGTGTCTCTAGGATACCAGAGTACATTCACCCTAAAGTGTCCCTAGGATACCAGAGTACATTCACCCTAAAGTGTCTCTAGGACACCAGAGTACATTCACCCTAAAGTGTCCTAGGATACCAGAGTACATTCACCCTAAAGTGTCCCTAGGATACCAGAGTACATTCACCCTAAGTGTCCCTAGGATACCAGAGTACATTCACCATAAAGTGTCTCTAGGACAACCAGAGTACATTCACCATAAGTGTCTCTAGGATACCAAAGTACATTCACCCTAAAGGTCCCTAGGATACCAGAGTACATTCACCCTAAAGTGTCCCTAGGACACCAGAGTACATTCACCCATAAAGTGTCTCTAGGATACCAGAGAACATTCACCCTAAGTGTCCCCTAGTATACCAGGTATTCACCCAAAGTGTCCCTAGGATACCAGAGTACATCACATAAAGTGTCCCTAGGATACCAGAGGTACATTCACCCATAAAGTGTCCCTAGGATACCAAGAGTACATTCACCCTAAAGTGTTCCCTAGGACCAGAGTACATTCACCCTAAAGTGTCCCTAGGATACCAGAGTACCATTCACCCTAAAGTGTCCCTAGGATACCAGAGTACATTCACCCTAAAGTGTCCCTAGGATACCAGAGTACATTCACCCTAAAGTGTCCCTAGGATACCAGAGTACATTCACCCTAAAGTGTCCCTAGGATACCAGAGTACATTCACCCTAAAGTGTCCCTAGGATACCAGAGTACATTCACCCTAAAGTGTCCCTAGGATACCAGAGTACATTCACCCTAAAGTGTCCCTAGTATACCAGAGTACATTCACCCTAAAGTGTCCCTAGGATACCAGAGTACATTCACCCTAAAGTGTCCCTAGGATACCAGAGTACATTCACCCTAAAGTGTCCCTAGGATACCAGAGTACATTCACCCTAAAGTGTCCCTAGGATACCAGAGTACATTCACCCTAAAGTGTCCCTAGGATACCAGAGTACATTCACCCTAAAGTGTCCCTAGGATACCAGAGTACATTCACCCTAAAGTGTCCCTAGGATACCAGAGTACATTCACCCTAAAGTGTCTCTAGGATACCAGAGTACATTCACCCTAAAGTGTCCCTAGGATACCAGAGTACATTCACCCTAAAGTGTCCCTAGGACACCAGAGTACATTCACCCTAAAGTGTCCCTAGGATACCAGAGTACATTCACCCTAAAGTGTCCCTAGGATACCAGAGTACATTCACCCTAAAGTGTCCCTAGGATACCAGAGTACATTCACCCTAAAGTGTCCCTAGGATACCAGAGTACATTCACCCTAAAGTGTCCGCTCAAGAGGAAGCTTCTCACTGTAACAGCGCCTGTAATCTGGTTCAGGTTATTAATGAACATAGCAGGGCGTTTACAAACACTACACACAATTTTACTAATTTTTTATTTATTTATTTTATTCCACCTTTATTTAACCAGGTAGGCCAGTTGAGAACAAGTTCTCATTTACAACTGCGACCTGGCCAAGATAAAGCTAATACTGTAGAACTTTGTTCTAAAGCTGTATCCGTACCCATTCTAAAGCTGTCTCCGTACCCATTCTAAAGCTGTCTCCGTACCCATTCTAAAGCTGTCTCCGTACCCATTCTAAAGCTGTCTCCGTACCCATTGGACGCAGTGATCACAATATATAGTGTCTATATCAAGGAAAGCCAAAATCACAAACTTTGGAGTACTTTAAGTGAGATTATGGGCAGAAAGACAAATTCAACTACATCTTTCATTGAATCAGATGGCTTATTCATCACAAAACGATTTGATGTTGCCAATTATTTTAATGATTACTTAATTGGCAAAGTGGGCACACTTAGGCAGGAAATGCCAACAATGAACAGTGAGCTATCGTATTCATGCATTAACAAAAACAATAATAATAAAAGAAAAGCATTGCAGGTTTGAATTTTGTAAAGTTAGTGTGGGAGAGGTGGAAAAATTATTGTTATCGATCAATAATGACAAACCTCCTGGCATTGACAACTTAAATGGAAAGCTACTGAGGATGGTAGCTGACTCTATAGCCACTCCTATCTGTCATATCTTTAATCTGAGACTAGAGGAAAGTCTTTGTCCTCAGGCCTGGAGGGAAGCCAAACAAACTCCGCTACCCAATAGTGGTAAAGCAGCCTTTACTGGTTCTAACAGCAGACCAACAGTGGCTTGCGAAAGTATTCACCCCCCTTGGCATTTTTCCTATTTTGTTGCCTTACATCCTGGAATTTAAATGGATTTTTTGGGGGGTTTGTATCATTTGATTTACATAACATGCCTACCACTTTGAAGATGCAAAATATTATTTTGGGTGAAACAAACAAGAAATAAGACAAAAAAACAGAACTTGAGCGTGCATAACTATTCATCCCCCCAAAGTCAATACTTTGTAGACCCACCTTTTGCAGCAATTACAGCTGCAAGTCTCTTGGGGTATGTCTCTATAAGCTTGGCCATCTAGCCACTGGGACTTTTGCCCATTCTTCGAGGCAAAACTGCTCCAGCTCCTTCAAGTTGGATGGGTTCCGCTGGTGTACAGCAATCTTTAAGTCATACCACAGATTCTCAATTGGATTGAGGTCTGGGCTTTGACTAGGCCATTCCAAGACATTTAAATGTTTCCCCTTAAATCACTTTAGCAGTATGCTTAGGGTGTCCTGCTGGAAGGTGAACCTCCGTCCCAGTCTCAAATCTCTGGAAGACTGAAACAGGTTTCCCTCAAGAATTTCCCTGTATTTAGCGCCATCCATCATTCCTTCAATTCTGACCAGTTTCCCAGTCCCTGCCGATGAAAAACATCCCCACAGCATGATGCTGCCACCACCATGCTTCACTGTGGGGATGGTGTTCTCGGGGTGGTGATAGGTGTTGGGTTTGCGCCAGACATAGCGTTTTCCTTGATGGCCAAAAAGCTCAATTTTAGTCTCATCTGACCAGAGTACCTTCTTCCATATGTTTGGGGAGTCTCCCACATGGCTTTTGGCGAACACCAAACGTGTTTGCTTATTTTTTTCTTTAAGCAATGGCTTTTTTCTGGCAACTCTTCCGTAAAGCCCAGCACTGTGGAGTGTACGGCTTAAAGTGTTCCTATGGACAGATACTCCAATCTCCGCTGTGGAGCTTTGCAGCTCCTTCAGGGTTATCTTTGGTCTCTTTATTGCCTCTCTGATTAATGCCTTCCTTGCCTGGTCCGTGAGTATTGGTGGGCGGCCCTCTCTTGGCAGGTAATTTTTTTTATAACCCAACCCTGATCTGTACTTCTCCACAACTTTGTCCCTGACCTGTTTGGAGAGCTCCTTGGTCTTCATGGTGCCGCTTGCTTGGTGGTACCCCTTGCTTAGTGGTGTTGCAGACTCTTGGGCCTTTCAGAACAGGTGTATATATACTGAGATCATGTGACAGATCATGTGACACTTAGATTGCACACAGGTGGACTTTATTTAACTAATTATGTGACTTCTGAAGGTAATTGGTTGCACCAGATCTTATTTAGGGGCTTCATAGCAAAGGGGGTGAATACATATGAACGCACCACTTTTCCGTTATTTATTTTTTTGAAGTTATTTTTTTCATTTCACTTCACCAATTTGGACTACTTTGTGTATGTCCATTACATGAAATCCAAATAAAATTCTATTTAAATTACAGGTTGTAATGCAACAAAATAGGAAAAACGCCAAGGGGGATGAATACTTTTGCAAGGCACTGTATCAGCTTACTGCCAGCTCTTAGCAAACTGTTGGAAAGAATTGTGTTTGACCAAATACAGTGCTACCTCTCCGTAAACAAATATATGTTGAGGGCACTCAACATATACTGCACTGACAAAAATGACTGGTGATTGGTTGAAAGAAATTGATAATAAGAAGATTATGGGAGCTGTACTGTTAGATTTCAATGCAGCCTTTGATATTATTGACCATAACCTGTTGCTGAGAAAACGTATTTATTATGGCTTTTTAACCTCTGCCATATTGTGGATTCAGAGCTATCTAGCTAATAGAACTCAGAGGATTTTCTTTAATGGAATCTTCTCTAATGTCAAACATGTAAAGTGGGGTGTCCGCAGGGCAGCTCTCTAGGCCCTTTACTCTTTTCTATTTTTACCAATGACCTGCTACTGGCATACTCATCAGCAACCACAGCTAATGAATTCACTGAAACCCTTAAACAATTGTTGCAGTCTGTTTTGGAATGGGTGGCCATTAATAAACTGGTCCTGAACATCTCTAAAACTAAGAGCATTGTATTTGGTACAAATCATTCCCTAAGTCCTAGACCTCAGCTGAATCTGTTAATGAATGGTGTGGCTGTTGAACAAGTTGAGGAAACTAAATTACTTGCCGTTACCTTAGATTGTAAACTGTCATGGTCAAAACATATAGATTCAATGGTTGTAAAGATGGGGAGAGGTCTGTCCGTAATAAAGAGATGCTCTGCTTTTTTGACACCACACTCCACAAAGCAAGTCCTGCAGGCTTCTTGATTATTGTCCAGTCATATGGTCAAGTGTTGCAAAGAAAGACCTAGTTAAGCTGCAGCTGGCCCAGAACAGAGCGGCACGTCTTGCTCTTCATTGTTATCAGAGGGCTGATATAAATACTATGCATGCCAGTCTCTCTTGGCTAAGAGTTGAGGAGAGACTGACTGTGTCACTTCTTGTTTTTATAAGAAACATGAATGTGTTGAAAATCCCAAATTGTTTGCATAGTCAACTTACACACAGCTATTACACACACACTTACCCCACCAGACATGACACCAGGGGTCTTTTCACAGTCCCCAGGTCCAGAACTAATTCAAGGAAACGTACAGTATTATACAGAGCCATGAGTGCATGGACCTCCCTTCCATCTTATATAGCGCAAGTGAACAGCAAACCTGGTTTCAAAAAACAATTAAAGCAACACCTCACGGCACAATGCCTCTCCCCCATGTGACCTACTTGTTGTGTGTATGTACTGACATGTATGTGTAACTGACACACACATGTTCATGTTTTTAAATGTATGGAAATTATAAAGTATTTTGTCTGTAATGTATTTTTCGCTATATGTCGGACCCCAGTAAGACTAGCTGTCACCATTGGCGTCGGCTAATGGGGATCCTAATAAATAACAAATTCTCCAGAACCGCTGAACCAATTGGCACCAAATTTAGTACATAGCATCTATGTACCCATGTTATTAAACACAACATCTTCCAGGACTCTAGCTCAAACAATATGGCCACCATGAGCCAATGAGGTTGCTTGAAAGGCTTTTCCTGTCCAACGCGCCACCATGCGGCCAAACTGAACCATTATTTGCATATCCCTGAGCATGTGTGCCAAATTTCATCACTCTGAGTGAAACAAATCAAAAGATATAAACGTGCCCATTACACGCCATCTGAATGTGCTTGATTATGTTGAGTTTTGGCAGTGTTTGGAATATGTATACCAAGTTTCGTTACCATACAAATATCCATGACTGATTTACATGCATTTATATGCCAGACCACACCAACTTGAATGTTTATTGGTCAGTTGCGGCCATATTGTTTGATGCCTGGATTCTAGTGCGTTTTCAGACCTTGGTCCATAGATGACGAGTAGCATTTTAAGTGTTTTTCACAAAATTCTATAATGCGGAACGTTGTGTATTTTAACTGTCAACACTAAGTTAAGACCCCGACTGAGAAAACTAAACACATGAGTCCGGACCTCTGTGTTGTAACAACTCTGTAGTTGAGGCCCTGCATGTGTGTGTGAGTGCTCTGTACAATCCCGGACATTCAGAGAGGTGTGTGGCATATGGGAGGGGTGTGTGTGTGTGTGTGTGTGTGTGTGTGTGTGTGTGTGTGTGTGTGTGTGTGTGTGTGTGTGTGTGTGTGTGTGTGGTGTGTGTGTGTGTGTGTGTGTGTGTGTGTGTGTGTGTGTGTGTGTGTGTGTGTGTGTGTGTGGTGTGTGGTGTGTGTGTGTGTGGTGTGTGTGTGTGTGTGTGTGTGTGTGTGTGTGTGTGTGTGTGTGTGTGTGTGTGTGTGTGTGTGTGTGTGTGTGTGTGTGTGTGTGTGTGTGTGTGTGTGTGTGTGTGTGTGTGTGTGTGTGTGTGTTTCGTTCCTACCAGTAGTTTGGGTCGTCTGTTGTGGTCCACCATGTCCAGCAGGGGGAAGTATTCCCTCAACATGTCGATGCTCACCACATTCTGGAAGCCCAGACTGGAGGGATGTTAAGGAACAACATGGTAACATCTATAACACTAAAACATACACTGAGTATACCAAACATTAGGAACACCTTCATAATATTGACTTGCACCCCCTCCCCCTTTGCCCTCAGAACAGCCTCAATTTGTCGGGGCGTGGACTCTACAAGGTGTCGAAAGCCTTCCACAGGGATGCTGGCCCATGTTGACTCCAATGCTTCCCACAGTTGTATCAAATTGGCTGTATGTCCTTTGGGTGATGGACCATTCTTGATACACACGGGAAACTGTTGAGTGTGAAAAACCCAGTAACGTGACAGTTCTTGACACAAACCGATGCGCCTGGCACCTACTACCATACCCCGTTCAAAGGCACTTAAATATTTTGTCTTGCCCATTCCCCTCTGAATGGCTCACATACACAATCCATGTCTCAAGGCTTGAAAATCCTTATTTAACCTGTCTCCTCCCCTTCATCTACACTGATTGAAGTGGATTTAACAAGAGACATCAATAAGGGATCATAGCTTTCACCTGGATTCATCTGGTCAGTCTATGGCATGGAAAGAGCATGTGTTCTTAATGTTTTGTACACTCAGTGTAATTTCCACAGTTTTTACTCTATCAAAGACCGTTATGTGCTAGAAATGGTCTGATCATCATCATGGCTGACGATGCTGTGTTTAGGTTTGCCACCCCCCTGGTTGATGCAGTAGGCCAACCTTTATCTGGACGACAACGTCATCTGCTCATATCATCAACATCACTGCAGCAAATCTTGTTGACGTACAGAGGGAGGCTTCACCCAAAATGATCCCCAGTGCTCTCTCATTACTGTCAGGCTGTCTGTAATCACAGAGACCCTAAATATATTAATCAGGGTTACAAAACACAACCAGCTGTCCAGCCATGTGGTCTCACTTATCAACATAGAACCCCTCTAGCAAAGACTGAAGGCACAGCAAATCAAATCAAATCAAATTGTATTTGCCACATGCCCAGAATACAACAGGTGTAGGCATTACAGTGAAATGCTTACTTACAAGCCCTTAACCAACAATGCAGTTTTTTTTTTTATAAAAAAGTAAAATAAAAAAGTGTTCAGTAAAAAAATAAAAGCAAATAACTAAAGAGCAGCAGTAAAATAAAATAACAGTAGGGAGGCTATATATACAGGGGGGTACCGGTACAGAGTCAATGTGCGGGGGCACCGGCTAGTCGAGGTAATTGAGGTAATATGTACATGTGGGTAGAGTTAAAGTGACTATGCATAAATAATAAACAGAGTGGCAGCAGCGAAAAAGAGGGGGTTGGGGTGGGGTGGGGGGGCAGTGCAAATAGTCTGGGTAGCCATGATTAGCTGTTCAGGAGTCTTATGGCTTGGGGGTAGAAGCTGTTGAGAAGTCTTTTGGACCTAGACTTGGCACTCCGGTACCGCTTGCCGTGCGGTAGCAGAGAGAACAGTCTATGACTAGGGTGACTAGAGTCTTTGACAATTTTTAGGGCCTTCCTCTGACACCGCCTGGTATAGAGGTCCTGGATGGCAGGAAGCTTGGCCCCAGTGATGTACTGAGCCGTACGCACTACCCTATGTAGTGCCTTGCGGTCGGAGGCCAAGCAGTTGCCATACCAGGCTGTGATGCAACCAGTCAGGATCTGAGGACCCATGCCAAATCTTTTCAGTCTCCTGAGGGGGAATAGGCTTTGTCGTGCCCTCTTCACGGATGTCTTGGTGTGTTTGGACCATGATAGTTTGTTGGTGATGTGGACACCAAGGAACTTGAAGCTCTCAACCTGCTCCACTACAGCCCCGTCGATGAGAATGGGGGCGTGCTCAGTCCTCTTTTTTGTCCTGTAGTCCACAATCATCTCCTTTGTCTTGATCACGTTGAGGGAGAGGTTGTTGTCCTGGCACCACACGGCCAGGTCAATGACCTCCTCCCAATAGGCTGTCTCAATGTTGTCTGTGATCAGGCCTACCACTGTTGTGTCATCGGCAAACTTAATGATGGTGTTGGAGTCATGCCTGGCCATGCAGTCATGGGTGAACAGGGAGTACAGGAGAGGACTGAGCACGCACCCTTGAGGGGCCCCCGTGTTGAGGATCAATTTGGCAGATGTGCTGTTACCTACCCTTACCACCTGGGGGCGGCCTGTCAGGAAGTCCAGGATCCAGTTGCAGAGGGAGGTGTTTAGTCCCAGGATCCTTAGCTTAGTGATGAGCTTAGAGGGCACTATGGTGTTGAATGCTGAGCTGTAGTCAATGAGAGATTGCATCATCTGTGGATCTGTTGGGGCGGTATGCAAATTGGAGTGGGCCTAGGGTTTCTGGGATAATGTTGTTGATGTGAACCATGACCAATTTGTTAACTTTCACTGCTATGCGGATGACACACAGCTGTACATTTCAATGAAGCATGGTGAAGCCCCAAAATTGCCCTCGCTAGAAGCCTGTGTTTCAGACATAAGAAAGTGGATGGCAAAAAACTTTTTACTTTTAAACTCGGACAAAACAGAGATGCTTGTTCTAGGTCCCAAGAAACAAAGAGATCTTCTGTTAAATCTGACAATTCATCTTGATGGTTGTAAAGTCGTCTCAAATAAAACTGTGAAGGACCTAGGCGTTACTCTTGACCCTGATCTCTCTTTTGACGAACATATCAAGACTGTTTCAAGGACAGCTTTTTTCCATCTACGTAACATTGCAAAAATCAGAAATTTTCTGTCCAAAAATGATGCAGAAAAATTAATCCATGCATTTGTTACTTCTAGGTTAGACTACTGCAATGCTCTATTTTCCGGCTACCCGGATAAAGCACTAAATAAACTTCAGTTAGTGCTAAATACGGCTGCTAGAATCCTGACTAGAACCAAGAAATTTGATCATATTACTCCAGTGCTAGCTTCCCTACACTGGCTTCCTGTTAAGGCAAGGGCTGATTTCAAGGTTTTACTGTTAACCTATAAAGCGTTACATGGGCTTGCTCCTACCTATCTTTCCGAGTTGGTCCTGCCGTACATACCAATACGTACGCTACGGTCACAAGACGCAGGCCTCCTAATTGTCCCTAGAATTTCTAAGCAAACAGCGGGAGGCAGGGCTTTCTCCTATAGATCTCCATTTTTATGGAACAGTCTGCCTACCCATGTGAGAGACGCAGACTCAGTCTCAACCTTTAAGTCTTTACTGAAGACTTATCTCTTCAGTAGGTCATATGATTGAGTGTAGTCTGGCCCAGGAGTGTGAAGGTGAACGGAAAGGCTGGAGCAACGAACAGCCCTTGCTGTCTCTGCCAGGCCGGTTCCCCTCTCCACTGGGGTTCTCTGCCTCTAACCCTGTTGCAGGGGCTGAGTCACTGGCTTGCTGGTGCTCTTTCATGCCGTCCCTGGGAGGGGTGCATCACTTGAGTGGGTTGAGTTACTGACGTGATCTTCCTGTCTGGGTTGGCGCCCCCCCCTTGGTTTGTGCTGTGGTGGAGACCTCTGTGGGCTATACTCGGCCTTGTCTCAGGATTGTAAGTTGGTGGTTGGGGATATCCCTCTAGTGGTGCGGGGGCTGTGCTTTGGCGGAGTGGGTGGGGTTATATCCTTCCTGTTTGGCCCTGTCCGGGGGTTTCTTCGGATGGGGCCACAGTGTCTCCGGACCGCTCCTGTCTCAGCCTCCAGTATTTATGCTGCAGTAGTTTATGTGTCGGGGGGCTGGGGTTAGTTGGTTATACCTGGAGTACTTCTCCTGTCTTATCCAGTGTCCTGTGTGAATTTAAGTATGCTCTCTCTAATTCTCTCGTTCTCTCTTTCTCTCTGAGAACCTGAGCCCTAGGACCATACGTCAGGACTACCGGGCATGATGACACCTTGCTGTCCCCAGTCCGCCTGGCCTTGCTGCTATTCCAGTTTCAACTGTTCTGCCTGCGGCTACGAAACCCCTACCTGTCCCAGACCTGCTGTTTTCAACTCTTAATGATCGGCTATGAAAAGCCAACTGAGAGACCTGAGCCCTAGGACCATACGTTGGGACTACCGGCCGTGGTGACTCCTTGCTGTCCCCAGTCCGCCTGGCCTTGCTGCTATTCCAGTTTAAACTGTTCTGCCTGCGGTTATGGAACCCCTACCTGTCCCAGACCTGCTGTTTTCAAAACTCTTAATGATCGGCTATGAAAAGCCAACTGAGATTTATTCCTGATTATTATTTGACCATGCTTGTCACTTATGAACATTTTTGAACATCTTGGCATGGTTCTGTTATAATCTCCACCCGGCACAGCCAGAAGAGGACTGGCCACCCCTCATAGCCTGGTTCCTCTCTAGGTTTCTTCCTAGGTTTTCGCCTTTCTAGGGAGTTTTTCCTAGCCACCGTGCTTCTTCACCTGCATTACTAGCTGTTTGGGGTTTTAGGCTGGGTTTCTGTACAGCACTTCGAGATATTAGCTGATGTAAGAAGGGCTATATAAAATAAAATTGATTGAAAATTGATTTCAAAGCACTTCATGGCTACAGACGTCAGTGCTACGGGTCGGTAGTCATTTAGGCAGGTTATCTTAGTGTCCTTGGGCACAGGGACTATGGTGGTCTGCTTGATACATGTTGGTATTACAGACTCAGTCAGGGACATGTGGAAAATGTCAGTGAAGACACTTGCCAGTTGGTCAGCACATGCTCGGAGTACACGTCCTGGTAATCCGTCTGGCACGACGGCCTTGTAAATGTTGACCTGCTTAAAAGTCTTACTCACATCGGCTACGGAGAGCGTGATCACATAGTCATCCGGAACAGCTGATGCTCTCATGCATGCTTCAGTGTTGCTTGCCTCGAAGCGAGCATAGAAGTGATTTAGCTCATCTGGTAGGCTTGTGTCACTGGGAAGCTCGTGGCTGTGCTTCCCTTTGTAGCTTGTAAAAGTTTTCAAGCCCTGCCACATCCGACGAGCCGGTGAAGTACGATTCAATCTTAGTCCTGTATTGACTCTTTGATGGTTCATCGGAGGGCATAGCGGGATTTCTTATAAGCGTCCAGGTGAGAGTCCTGCTCCTTGAAAGCGGAAGCTCTACCCTTTAGCTCAGTGTGGATGTTGCCTGTAATCCATGGCTTCTGGTTGGAGTATGTACTTACGGTCACTGTGGGGACGACGTCATCGATGCACTTATTGATGAAGCCAGTGACTGAGGTGGTGTATTCCTCAATGCTATCTGAAGAATCCAGGAACATATTCCAGTCTGTGCTATCAAAACATTCCTGTAGCTTAGCATCTGCGTCATCTGATCACTTTTTTATTAACCGAGTCACTGGTGCTTCCTGTTTTAGTATTTGCTTCTAAGCAGGAATCAGGAGGATATAATTATGGTCAGATTTGCCAAATGGAGGGCGAGGGAGAGCTTTGTATGCATCTCTGTGTGTGGAGTAAAGGTGGTCTAGAGTTTTTTTTCCTCTGGTTGCACATTTAACATGCTGGTAGAAATTAGGTAGAACGGATTTAAGTTTCCCTGTATTAAGGTCCCCGGCCACTAGGAGCGCTGCCTCTGGATGAGCGTTTTCCTGTTTACTTATGGCCTTATACAGCTCATTGGGTGCAATCTTAGTTCCAGCATCGGTTTGTGGTGGTAAATTGACAGCTACGAAAAATATAGATGAAAACTCTCTTGGTAAATAGTATGGTCTACAGCTTATCATGAGATACTCTACCTCAGGCGAGCAAAACCTTGAGACTTCCTTAGTATTAGATTTTATGCACCAGCTGTTCTTTACAAATATACACAGACAGCCACCCCTTGTCTTACCGGAGTCAGCCATTCTATCCTGCCGATGTAGCGTATAGCCCGCCAGCTGTATGTTATTCATGTCGTCATTCATCCACGACTCGGTGAAACATAAGATATTACAGTTTTTTATGTCCCGTTGGTAGGATAACCGTAATCTTAGGTCATCCAATTTATTCTCCAATGATTGTACGTTGGCTAATAGGATTGATGGAAGAGGCAGTTTACTCGCTCGCCGTCGGATCCTTACAAGGCACCCCGACCTACGTCCACGATATCTCAGTCTCTTTCTCATGCAAATGACGGGGATTTGGGCCTTGTCGGGTGTCTGTAGGATATCCTTCGCATCCGACTCGTTGAAGAAAAAATCTTCGTCCAATACGAGGTGAGTAATCGCTGTCCTGATATCCAGAAGCTCTTTTTGGTCATAAGAGACCATTATGTACAGAATAAATTAAAAATAACGCGAAAAAACAAACATAATAGTACAATTGGTTAGAGGGCTGTAAAACGGCAGCCATCTTCTCCGGCGCCACTCTATTTTGTTGATAGATGTTTTAAATGTCAATAGTGTTTTAGTTAGCTACTAACACTGGCTGAGTAACTATATACATCTCATGATGATGGCATTGTGAAACAGCAGAGATAGAACTGATTAGACAGAGCAGAGTATAAAGGATACTTCTTAGCGATGTCCAGTACAGGTCCTTGTCCCGACACCAGAACACATTTATCATGGTACTTCCTGAACATCCTGAGAGGACTGTGAGACAGCATCACCTGGTCCTGGGAGATCTACACAACACAGATACACAGTTACCAAACATACCAATAGAGTGACTGTTGCAGTTCATTAGAGCACTCTAACACTACTGAAGAGGCTGCTGCCTGAAACCGCTGCCTGAAACCGCTGCCTGAAACCACCTGAAATCACAGCCTGAAACCACAGCCTGAAACCACCTGAAACCACAGCCTGAAACCACCTGAAACCACAGCCTGAAACCGCTGCCTGAAACCGCTGCCTGAAACCGCTGCCTGAAACCGCTGCCTGAAACCACAGCCTGAAACCGCAGCCTGAAACCGCTGCCTGAAACCGCTGCCTGAAACCGCTGCCTGAAACCACAGCCTGAAACCACAGCCTGAAACCGCTGCCTGAAACCGCTGCCTGAAACCGCTGCCTGAAACCGCTGCCTGAAACCGCTGCCTGAAACCGCTGCCTGAAACCGCTGCCTGAAACCACAGCCTGAAACCACCTGAAACCACAGCCTGAAACCGCTGCCTGAAACCGCTGCCTGAAACCGCTGCCTGAAACCGCTGCCTGAAACCGCTGCCTGAAATCGCTGCCTGAAACCGCTGCCTGAAACCGCTGCCTGAAACCACAGCCTGAAACCACCTGAAACCACAGCCTGAAACCACAGCCTAAAACCACAGCCTGTAACCACAGCCTGAAACCACAGCCTGAAACCACAGCCTGAAACCACAGCCGGAAACCACAGCCTGAAACCACAGCCTGAAACCACAACCTGAAACCACAGCCTGAAACCACAGCCTGAAACCACCTTCAGTATAAATTGAGAATGATAATGATTGTAGGTCAGGTGACAGAGAATTGCATGTTAATGATAATTTGTGAATTTGTGCATTTTTATTAGGATCCCCATTAGCTAACACCGTAACGTTAGCTAATCTTCCTGGGGTCCAACACCAATTAATAAGACATTACAAACAATTACAAAGGAAGACTTCACAAACATTTAACAAGTAGACAATCCAGACAATTAAAATACCTGACAGGTAACACATTTAACATTCAGTTGATGCTTTCTATTTCCTGTCCAGTCACATGGTCTATCGCATTAAATGTTATTTTAGTTTTTTCTTGAAGGTGGATTTACTTTTTGCCTGAGAAATATGGATTGGTAAAGAGTTCCATGCAGCTATGGGTCTATATAAAACTGTAGATTTAAGGCGATTTGTCCTTGGCTTGGGTTGTCTTAGATGCCCTGAATATACCCGTCTGGTTGGGTGGTTATGCGTGTTGCTAGTATGTACTAACTGGTCTGAAAAATACTGTGTTTTTTTGAAAAATATAACATTCCTAAAGAAACTCAGAAGACTGGATAGTAATTTGTTTTCAACTTGAAGCCATGATTGTAGGTCAGGTGACAGACACTATAACAACATTCCAGACAGCTTTTATGTGAATGTTGTTTGCACTTCTCAGTTCAGACCTCCAGATTAATTAGCTTGATGTAAGATACCTGAAACATGAGCCTGACTTGGAGGTACTCCCAGGGTTAGGGTTAGACTCCCAGGGTTAGGGGTTAGACTCCCAGGGTGCAACTCCCAGGGTTAGGGGTTAGACTCCCAGGGTTAGGGGTTAGACTCCCAGGGTGCAACTCCCAGGGTTAGGGGTTAGACTCCCAGGGTTAGGGGTTAGACTCCCAGGGTTAGGGGTTAGACTCCCAGGGTTAGGGTTAGACTCCCAGGGTGCAACTCCCAGGGTTAGGGTTAGACTCCCAGGGGTTTGGGGTTAGACTCCCAGGGTGCAACTCCCAGGGTTAGGGGTTAGACTCCCAGGGTTAGGGGTTAGACTCCCAGGGTTAGGGGTTAGACTCCGGGTGCAAATCCCAGGTTAGGGTTAGGACTCCCAGGTTAGGGTGTAGACTCCCAGGGTTAGGTTAGACTCCCAGGGTTTGGGTTAGACTCCATGTGTGCAACTCCAGGTTAGGGGTTAGACTCCCAGGGTTTTAGGTTAGACCCAGGGTTAGGGGTTGAGACTCCCAGGGTTAGGGTTAGCTCCCAGGTTAGACTCCCAGGGTTAGGGGTTAGATCCGGTGCAACTCCAGGGTTAGGGTAGACTCCCAGGGTTAGGGGTTAGACTCCCAGGGTTAGGGGTTAGACTCCCAGGGTTAGGGTTAACTCCCAGGGTTAGGGGTTAGACTCCCAGGGTTAGGGGTTAGACTCCCAGGGTTAGGGGTTAGACTCCCAGGGTGCAACTCCCAGGGTTAGGGGTTAGACTCCCAGGGTTAGAGGTTAGACTCCCAGGGTTAGAGGTTAGACTCCCAGGGTTAGGGTTAGACTCCCAGGGTTAGGGGTTAGACTCCCAGGGTTAGGGGTTAGACTCCCAGGGTTAGGGTTAGACTCCCAGGGTTAGGGGTTAGACTCCCAGGGTTAGGGTTAGACTCCCAGGGCCAGGGTGCAACTCCCAGGGTTAGGGGTTAGACTCCCAGGGTTAGGGGTTAGACTCCCAGGGTTAGGGTTAGACTCCCAGGGTTAGGGGTTAGACTCCCAGGGTTAGGGGTTAGACTCCCAGGGTTAGGGTTAGACTCCCAGGGTTTAGGGTTAGAACTCCCAGGTAGGGTTAGACTCCCAGGGTTAGGGGTTAGACTCCCAGGGTTACGGTTAGGTGTCAGTGGTTAGGGTTAGTCTCACAGGCACTCCCAGGGTGAGGGGTTAGACTCCCAGGGTTAGGGTTAGACTCCCAGGGTTAGGGTTAGACTCCCAGGGTTAGGGTTAGACTCCCAGGGTTAGGGGTTAGACTCCCAGGGTTAGGGTTAGACTCCCAGGGCCAGGGTGCAACTCCCAGGGTTAGGGGTTAGACTCCCAGGGTTAGGGGTTAGACTCCCAGGGTTAGGGGTTAGACTCCCAGGGTTAGGGGTTAGACTCCCAGGGTTAGGGTTAGACTCCCAGGGTTAGGGTTAGACTCCCAGGGTTAGGGTTAGACTCCCAGGGTTAGGGGTTAGACTCCCAGGGTTACGGTTAGGTGTCAGTGGTTAGGGTTAGTCTCACAGGCACTCCCAGGGTGAGGGGTTAGACTCCCAGGGTTAGGGTTAGACTCCCAGGGTTAGGGTTAGACTCCCAGGGTTAGGGTTAGACTCCCAGGGTTAGGGGTTAGACTCCCAGGGTTAGGGTTAGACTCCCAGGGTTACGGTTAGGTGTCAGTGGTTAGGGTTAGTCTCACAGGCACTCCCAGGGTGAGGGTTAGGGGTCAGAGGTTATGGTTAGGGTTGGACTCACAGGCACTCCCAGGGTGAGGGTAGGGAGTCAGAGATTAGGGTTAGGGGTCAGAGGTTAGGGTTAGACTCATAGGCAATCCCAGGGTTAGGGTGAGGGTTAGAATCACAGGATAAGGGGTCAGAGGTTAGGGTCGGACTCCCAGGGTCAGGGTTAGGGGTCAGAGGTTATGGTTAGGGTTGGACTCACAGGCACTCCCAGGGTTAGGGGTCAGAGGTTTGGGTTAGACTCATAGGCAATCCCAGGGTTAGGGTGAGGGTTAGAATCACAGGATAAGGGGTCAGAGGTTAGGGTTGGACTCCCAGGGTTAGGGGTCAGAGGTTTGGGTTGGTCTCCCAGGGTTAGGGGTCAGAGGTTCAGGTTAGGATTGGACTCCCAGGGTTAGGGATTAGGGGTCAGAGGTTACGGTTAGGGGTCGGAGATTCAAGTTAGGATTGGACTCCCAGGGTGAGGGTAGGGAGTCAGAGATTAGGGTTAGGGGTCAGAGGTTAGGGTTAGACTCATAGGCAATCCCAGGGTTAGGGTGAGGGTTAGAATCACAGGATAAGGGGTCAGAGGTTAGGGTCGGACTCCCAGGGTCAGGGTTAGGGGTCAGAGGTTATGGTTAGGGTTGGACTCACAGGCACTCCCAGGGTTAGGGGTCAGAGGTTTGGGTTAGACTCATAGGCAATCCCAGGGTTAGGGTGAGGGTTAGAATCACAGGATAAGGGGTCAGAGGTTAGGGTTGGACTCCCAGGGTTAGGGGTCAGAGGTTTGGGTTGGTCTCCCAGGGTTAGGGGTCAGAGGTTCAGGTTAGGATTGGACTCCCAGGGTTAGGGATTAGGGGTCAGAGGTTACGGTTAGGGGTCGGAGATTCAAGTTAGGATTGGACTCCCAGGGTGAGGGTAGGGAGTCAGAGATTAGGGTTAGGGGTCAGAGGTTAGGGTTAGACTCATAGGCAATCCCAGGGTTAGGGTGAGGGTTAGAATCACAGGATAAGGGGTCAGAGGTTAGGGTCGGACTCCCAGGGTCAGGGTTAGGGGTCAGAGGTTATGGTTAGGGTTGGACTCACAGGCACTCCCAGGGTTAGGGGTCAGAGGTTTGGGTTGGACTCCCAGGGTTAGGGTGAGGGTTAGAATCACAGGATAAGGGGTCAGAGGTTAGGGTCGGACTCCCAGGGTCAGGGTAAGGGGTCAGAGGTTATGGTTAGGGTTGGACTCACAGGCACTCCCAGGGTTAGGGGTCAGAGGTTCAGGTTAGGATTGGACTCCCAGGGTTAGGGATTAGGGGTCAGAGGTTACGGTTAGGGGTCGGAGATTCAAGTTAGGGTTGGACTCACAGGCACTCCCAGTATGTGAGACAGTTGATCAGCCTTCTTCTGACGGAGACAGTTTCCAGCGTTGGTGACAAACACCACAGGAACCAAGAACTGTCCTCTGGAGTCCACCAACTTTTGAAAGGCCTTTTTAGCGGCTGGAATAGGAGTCTTCCCCCGGACCAGCACCCCATCGATGTCAAACAGCAGACCGAACCCTGGCTGGATCTAGAGCACAGGAGGATCAGAGACACTTCTGAGAAAGGCATTGGACAAACCATATGACACATACTGTTGTGATACTGTACAACCAGTCTTTACTTTTCAGTTGTTGTTGTTTTTTAGTTTGGAATTATTTAGTTTTTACATTTCAGTTGTTGTCACACACAAACCATCCATGCGTGGCATCACAGCAAAACGGCAAGATCTGGTACTGATCTGCACAAACAAACCCAGACAGACCCAGATAGACCCAAACAGACTCAAACAGACCCAGACAGACTCAAACAGACCCAGACAGACTCAAACAGACCCAGACAGACCCACCCTGACCTGCACTGCAAAGAATAATAGAGGATTCTCAGAGCATAATAAGAAAAACATTTTTACAGCTTAATAAACCAGCATCATCCCAGCTTAATAAACCAGCATCATCCCAGCTTTATAAACCAGCATCATCCCAGCTTAATAAACCAGCATCATCCCAGCTTTATAAACCAGCATCATCCCAGCTTTATAAACCAGCATCATCCCAGCTTTATAAACCAGCATCATCACAATTCCCACATCAGCCACGACCCCACGGTGGCTTTGTGTCTGTTGGTCAGTGTTTTGATAAGGATGTTTTCTCTCTCTCTGTTTCACTAAGAACAAACATCTGTCCTCTTCCCAAGGGGAGCACTTGTCTCTCAGTTAAGATTCAGTGACACACAAACGTCATTCCACCGTGACCAACATCAGCCACCGTGACCAACATCAGCCACCGTGACCAACATCAGCCACACTGACTACAACAATGTTGTAGATCTTAATGTTTTTCCACAAAATCCTGGACTATCGGACCACCATTTTATTACGTTTGCAATCGCAACAAATAATCTGCTCAGACCCCAACCAAGGAGCATCAAAAGTCGTGCTATAAATTCTCAGACAACACAAAAATTCCTTGATGCCCTTCCAGACTCCTTCTGCCTACCCAAGGACGTCAGAGGACAAAAATCAGTTAACCACTTAACTGAGGAACTCAATTTAACCTTGCGCAATACCCTAGATGCAGTTGCACCCCTAAAAACGAAAAACATTTGTCATAAGAAACTAGCTCCCTGGTATACAGAAAATACCCGAGCTTTGAAGCAAGCTTCCAGGAAATTGGAACGGAAATGGCGCCACACCAAACTGGAAGTCTTCCGACTAGCTTGGAAAGACAGTACCGTGCAGTACCGAAGAGCCCTCACTGCTGCTCGATCATCCTACTTTTCCAACTTAATCGAGGAAAATAAGAACAATCCAAAATTTCTTTTTGATACTGTTGCAAAGCTAACTAAAAAGCAGCATTCCCCAAGAGAGGATGGCTTTCACTTCAGCAGTAATAAATTCATGAACTTCTTTGAGGAAAAGATCATGACCATTAGAAAGCAAATTACGGACTCCTCTTTGAATCTGCGTATTCCTCCAGGGCTTAGCTGTCCTGGATCTGCACAGCTCTGCGAGGGCCTGGGATCAGGAGAGACACTTAAGTGTTTTAGTACTATATCTCTTGACACAATGATGAAAATAATCATGGCCTCTAAACCTTCAAGCTGCATACTGGATCCTATTCCTACTAAACTGCTGAAGGAGCTGCTTCCTGTGCTTGGCCCTCCTATGTTGAACATAATAAACAGCTCTCTATCCACCGGATGTGTACCAAACTCACTAAAAGTGGCAGTGATAAAGCCTCTCTTGAAAAAGCCAAACCTTGACCCGGAAAATATAAAAAACTATCGGCCTATATCGAATCTTCCATTCCTCTCAAAAATTTTGAGAAAAAGCTGTTGCGCAGCAACTCACTGCCTTTCTGAAGACAAACAATGTATACGAAATGCTTCAGTCTGGTTTTAGACCCCATCATAGCACTGAGACTGCACTTGTGAAGGTGGTAAATGACCTTTTAATGGCGTCAGACCGAGGCTCTGCATCTGTCCTCGTGCTACTAGACCTTAGTGCTGCCTTTGACACCATCGATCACCACATTCTTTTGGAGAGACTGGAAACCCAAATTGGTCTACACGGACAAGTTCTGGCCTGGTTTAGATCTTACCTGTCGGAAAGATATCAGTTTGTCTCTGTGAATGGTCTGTCCTCCGACAAATCAACTGTACATTTCGGTGTTCCTCAAGGTTCCGTTTTAGGACCACTATTGTTTTCACTATATATTTTACCTCTTGGGGATGTTATTCGAAAACATAATGTTAACTTTCACTGCTATGCGGATGACACACAGCTGTACATTTCAATGAAACATGGTGAAGCCCCAAAATTGCCCTCGCTAGAAGCCTGTGTTTCAGACATAAGGAAGTGGATGGCTGAAAACTTTCTACTTTTAAACTCGGACAAAACAGAGATGCTTGTTCTAGGTCCCAAGAAACAAAGAGATCTTCTGTTAAATCTGACAATTCATCTTGATGGTTGTAAAGTCGTCTCAAATAAAACTGTGAAGGACCTCGGCGTTACTCTTGACCCTGATCTCTCTTTTGACGAACATATCAAGACTGTTTCAAGGACAGCTTTTTTCCATCTACGTAACATTGCAAAAATCAGAAATTTTCTGTCCAAAAATGATGCAGAAAAATTAATCCATGCATTTGTTACTTCTAGGTTAGACTACTGCAATGCTCTACTTTCCGGCTACCCGGATAAAGCACTAAATAAACTTCAGTTAGTGCTAAATACGGCTGCTAGAATCCTGACTAGAACCAAGAAATTTGATCATATTACTCCAGTGCTAGCTTCCCAGACCTGCTGTTTTCAACTCTTAATGATCGGCTATGAAAAGCCAACTGAGATTTATTCCTGATTATTATTTGACCATGCTTGTCACTTATGAACATTTTTGAACATCTTGGCATGGTTCTGTTATAACCTCCACCCGGCACAGCCAGAAGAGGACTGGCCACCCCTCATAGCCTGGTTCCTCTCTAGGTTTCTTCCTAGGTTTTGGCCTTTCTAGGGAGTTTTTCCTAGCCACCGTGCTTCTACACCTGCATTACTAGCTGTTTGGGGTTTTAGGCTGGGTTTCTGTACAGCACTTCGAGATATTAGCTGATGTACGAAGGGCTATATAAAATAAAATTGATTGATTGAATGTATTTCATAACCAAATGATGGATACGGTTCATATTCCTGAAAATATTGAAAACATTTACAGTGCCTTACAAAAGTATTCAACCCCCTTGGCATTGTTCCTATTTTGTTTCATTACAACCTGTAATTTAAATGGATATTTATTAGCATTTCATGTAATGGACATACACAAAATAGTCCAAATTGGTGAAGTGGAATGAACAAAAAAACGTGTTTCAAAAAATTCAAAAAAATAAATAACGGAAAAGTGGTGCGTTCATATGTATTCACCCCCTTTGCTATCAAGCCCCTAAATAAGATCTGGTGCAACCAATTACCTTCAGAAGTCACATAATTAGTTAAATAAAGTCCACCTGTGTGCAATCTAAGCATCACATGATCTGTCACATGATCTTAGTATATATATATATATACACCTGTTCTGAAAGGCCCCAGAGTCTGCAACACCACTAAGCAAGGGGCATCACCAAGCAAGCGGCACCATGAAGACCAAGGAGCTCTCCAAACAGGTCAGGGACAAAGTTGTGGAGAAGTACAGATCAGGGTTGGGTTATAAAAACATATGCGAAACTTTGAACATCCCACGGAGCACCATTAAATCCATTATTAAAAAAATGAAAGAATATGGCACCACAACAAACCTGCCAAGAGAGGGCCGCGCACCAAAACTCACAGACCAGGCAAGGAGGGCATTAATCAGAGAGGCAAGAGAGAGACCAAAGATAACCCTGAAGGAGCTGCAAAGCTCCACAGCGGAGATTGGAGTATCTGTCCATAGGACCACTTTAAGCCGTACACTACACAGAGCTGGGCTTTACGGAAGAGTGGCCAGAAAAAAGCCATTGCTTAAAGAAAAAAATAAGCAAACACGTTTGGTGTTCGCCAAAAGCCATGTGGGTGACTCCCCAAACATATGGAAGAAGGTACTCTGGTCAGATGAGACTAAAATTGAGCTTTTTGGCCATCAAGGAAAATGTCTGGCGCAAACCCAACACCTCTCATCACCCCGAGAACACCATCCCCACCGTGAAGCATGGTGGTGGCAGCATCATGCTGTGGGGATGTTTTCCATCGGCAGAGACTGGGAAACTGGTCAGAATTGAAGGAATGATGGATGGTGCTAAATACAGGGAAATTCTTGAGGGAAACCTGTTTCAGTCTTCCAGAGATTTGAAACTGGGACGGAGGTTCACCTTCCAACAGGACAATTACATTTTAGTCATTTAGCAGACGCTCTTATCCAGAGCAACTTACAGTTAGTGAGTGCATACATTTTTTTTTCATACTGGCCCCCCGTGGGAATCGAACCCACAACCCTGGCCATGCTCTACCAACTGCTGAAGCTGAAGCGCAGCTGGGTCATGCAGCAAGACAATGATCCAAAACACACAATCAAGTCTACATGACAATTGCTAAAAAGCAACAAATTGGAAGTTTTGGAATGGCCTAGTCAAAGTCCAGACTTAATCCCAATTGCTTGAAAACCCACACATCACTGAGTTAAAGCAGTTCTGCATGGAAGAGTGGGCCAAAATTCCTCCACAGTGACGTGAGAGACAGATCAACAACTACAGGAAGCATTTGGTTGGAGTCATTGTAGCTAAAGGTGGCACAACCAGTTTTTGAGTGTAAGGGGGCAATTACTTTTTTACACAGGGGAATTGGGTGTTGCATAACTTTGTTTATGAAATAAATGAAATAAATATGTAATTGTTGTGTTATTTGTTCACATATGTTCCCTTTATCTAGAAAATCCAGAAAATCACATTGTAGGATTTTTAATGAATTTATTTGCAAATTATGGTGGAAAATAAGTATTTGGTCAATAACAAAAGTTTCTCAATACTTTGTTATATACCCTTTGTTGGCAATGACACAGGTCAAACGTTTTCTGTAAGTCTTCACAAGGTTTTCACACACTGTTGCTGGTATTTTGGCCCATTCCTCCATGCAGATCTCCTCTAGAGCAGTGATGTTTTGGGGCTGTCGCTGGGCAACACGGACTTTCAACTCCCTCCAAAGATTTTCTATGGGGTTGAGATCTGGAGACTGGCTAGGCCACTCCAGGACCTTGAAATGCTTTTTACGAAGCCACTCCTTCGTTGCCCGGGCGGTGTGTTTGGGATCATTGTCATGCTGAAAGACCCAGCCACGTTTCATCTTCAATGCCCTTGCTGATGGAAGGAGATTCTCACTGAAAATCTCACGATACATGGCCCCATTCATTCTTTCCTTTACACGGATCAGTCGTCCTGGTCCCTTTGCAGAAAAACAGCCCCAAAGCATGATGTTTCCACCCCCATGCTTCACAGTAGGTATGGTGTTCTTTGGATGCAACTCAGCATTCTTTGTCCTCCAAACACGACGAGTTGAGTTTTTACCAAAAAAGTTATATTTTGGTTTCATCTGACCATATGACATTCCCCCAAATCCTCTTCTGGATCATCCAAATGCACTCTAGCAAACTTCAGACGGCCTGGACATGTACTGGCTTAAGCAGGGGACTTTTTTCCCCACTGTATGTGTATATATATACAGTGGGAAAAAAGTATTTAGCCCAGCCACCAATTGTGGCAAGTCTCCCATTTAAAAAAGATGAGAGAGGCCTGTAATTTTCATCATAGTACACGTAAACTATGACAGACAAATTGAGGGGAAAAAATCCAGAAAATCACATTGTAGGATTTTTAATTTGAATTTATTTCCCAAATTATGGTGGAAAATAAGTATTTGGTTTCACCTACAAACAAGCAAGATTTCTGGCTCTCAAAAGCCCTTTAAACTTCTTCTTTAAGAGGCTCCTCTGTCCTCCACTCCTTACCTGTATTAAGGCACCTTTTTGGGAACTTGTTATCAGTATAAAAGGCTTAAGCAGGGGGACACGTCTGGCACTGCAGGATTTGAGTCCCTGGCGGCGTAGTGTGTTACTGATGGTAGGCTTTGTTACTTTGGTCCCAGCTCTCTGCAGGTCATTCACTAGGTCCCCCCGTGTGGTTCTGGGATTTTTGCTCACCGTTCTTGTGATCATTTTGACCCCACGGGGTGAGATCTTGCGTGGAGCCCCAGATTGAGGGAGATTATCAGTTGTCTTGTATGTCTTCCATTTCCTAATAATTGCTCCCACAGTTGATGTCTTCAAACCAAGCTGCGTACCTATTGCAGATTCAGTCTTCCCAGCCTGGTGCAGGTCTACAATTTTGTTTCTGGTGTCCTTTGACAGCTGTTTGGTCTTGGCCATAGTGGAGTTTGGAGTGTGACTGTTTGAGGTTGTGGACAGGTGTCTTTTATACTGATAACAAGTTCAAACAGGTGCCATTAATACAGGTAACGAGTGGAGGACAGAGGAGCCTCTTAAAGAAGAAGTTACAGGTCAGAATGTCATATGGTCAGATGAACCAAAATATACTTTTGGTCTCAACTCGTCGTAACAAGAATCTGAGCATCCGAACCCATATCTGTGGCAGGGGTGGAACATCATGCTTTGGGGCTGTTTTTCTGCAAAGGGACCAGGAACGACTGATCCGTGTAAAGGAAAGAATGAATGGGGCCATGTATCGTGAGATTTTGAGTGAAACCTCCTTCCATCAGCAAGGGCATTGAAGATGAAACGTGGCTGGGTCTTTCAGCATGACAATGATCCCAAAACCACACCGCCCGTGCAACGAAGGAGTGGCTTCGTAAGAAGCATTTCAAGGTCCTGGAGTGGCCTAGCCAGTCTCCAGATCTCAACCCCATAGAAAATCTTTGGAGGGAGTTGAACAGTCTGTGTTGCCCAGCGACAGCCCCAAAACATCACTGCTCTAGAGGAGATCTGCATGGAGGAATGGGCCAAAATACCAGCAACAGTGTGTGAAAACCTTGTGAAGACTTACAGAAAACGTTTGACCTGTGTCATTGCCAACAAAGGGTATATAACAAAGTATTGAGAAACTTTTGTTATTGACCAAATACTTATTTTCCACCATAATATGCAAATAAATTCATTAAAAATCCTACAATGTGATTTTCTGGATTTTTTTTTCTCATTTTGTCTGTCATAGTTGACGTGTACCTATGATGAAAATTACAGGCCTCTCTCATCTTTTTAAGTGGGAGAACTTGCACAATTGGTGGCTGACTAAATACTTTTTTCCCCCACTTTATATACATATACACATACATACACATATATACATACACATATCCTTTATTAAATTATATTTCCCTTCATTACTTTCCAACCCCACCACCCCTTCCCCAATTGGAGTAAACTAGTGAACAACAACGCTCAGGCCTCTACTTCCAGCCCATACATACTATATACATTTTATGGACACAGTCAATTTTACAATTATTCTATTTTGTTTGTTTTTACTCATGAACTTCCTCCGATCATTTTCATGATGTCCATCTGGTTTGCTTCTATATGCCATATTTTTCTAACTGTGCTCTTTCACAAAAGCACTCAACCTATAACCTATACCCTTATTATGGACACAGTATGCTTTACATTAGTTATCTTGTTGTTATTAGTGGTTGTTATTAGTCCTATCCTTCAGCTCCATTCAACACCTCCCATCTATCTCTTAACACCATCCATATTGGATTTCTATTTGCCATATATTTTTCAACTGTACTGTGATGTTTTACAAAAGTTATGAACCTTTCTATTCTAATTTTTTCTACAGATCGTAAATTGAAAATAAACATTTTTGCTAAAAGTATTACTATATTATTGATCGATTGACTATGACTTTTCAGATCACCTAGTAGTGCTATCTGCAGGGTTAGCTCCAGGTAAATATTGCAATCCTTTAGCCATTCCTGGACCTGTGTCCAAAAACAAGCTACAAATGGACAGTACCAAAACAAATGATCTAATGATTCTGTCTCTTCGCAGCAAAAACTGCAGAGCTGGGAAGATTGAATCCCCCATATAAATAACATTCTATTGGTAGCAAGAATTTTATATAATAATTTAAATTGAAAAATTCTAAGTTTTGAATCCGGCGTCGTTTTGCGTATCAATTAATAAACACTATGCCATGGAATCGGTATGTCAAAAATCTCTTCCCAACTATTTTGCAATCTATATGGGACGGCTGTCAATCCTTTGGTCCTTAAATGAAACTGGTAAACTTTTTTATTTATCACAATTTTCTTTAACCAATTATGGTCTTTAACGCAGGGCCGACAGACAAATTCCTTACTTTTTCACCCTTCCACTTTCCTTTTCCATTTTTGCAGTAATGCTGCAATTATTTGGTTGTAATTTTGGGTAGAGCAGACATTTCCATATGTTTTTGTTAGCTGCATGTGCGACATAACTCCACCAGTCCTACCGATAATATCATTTACGAAGATTATACCTTTTAAAAATATTTTGTCCCCAAAAAAGTTTTTTTTATCAATTAGTATATTTGAGTTTAACCACAATATTTGTTGCATTATTTGTTCTGTCATTTCTGGAGGATTAAATTGAAATTGCAACCAACTTTCTATGGCTTGTATTAGAAATAGTGATATTTGGGAGATTATTTCCTTTTCAAATAACTGAAAGTGAGAGGTTGTAATCTGAATAAAGGGGAAAAGGCCATTCTTGAACATTGGGTGAGACAATCTTACTAATTTGCTAGAGAACCAGTTCGGATTTAAGTATAACTTTTGTATGACTGAAGCTTTTAGTGATAGGCCTAATGCTTTAATATTTAATAATTTCTCTCCTCTGAATTCATATTCATTATATAAATAGGCCCGTTTAATTTTGTCTGGCTTGCCGTTCCAAATAAAATTGAATCTGTTTTTCTCATATAATTTAAAAAACTGTTCGCTAGGCGTAGGCAAGACCATAGGCAAATAGGTCAACTGGGATAATACTAAAGAGTTAATCAGGGTGATTTTTCCACAAATTGACAGGTATTTACCTTTCCATGGTAGCAAGATCTTATCTATTTATGCTAACTTTCTATTAACATTTCTTGGAGTGAGATCATTTATTTCATTTGGGATATGTATTCCGAGTATATCCACATCACCATCAGACCATTTTATTGGTAAACTACATGGTAATGTAAAAATTGAATTTTTTTGTGATCCAATACGTAATATAGTACATTTATCATAATTTGGTTGTAATCCAGAGAGGTTAGAACATGTATCTAGATCCTCTATGAGGCTGTGGAGGGATTCTAGCTGTGGATTTAAAAGAAAACATGAATCATCAGCATACAATGACACCTTAGTTTTTAAGCCCTGGATTTCTAATCCTCTGATATTATTGTTGGATCTGATTTTAATAGCTAACATCTCGATGGCAATAATAAATAGATATGCCGACAGTGGACAACCTTGTTTCACTCCTCTTGACAGTTTAAAACTTTCTGAGAAATAGCCATTATTTACTATTTTACACCTAGTACTTGCGTACTATTGTTTGTACAGATGAACGTGCTACCTTCAGGTGTTTGGAAATTGCTCCCAAGGATGAACCAGACTTGTGGAGGTCTACAATATTTTTTCTGAGGTCTTGGCTGATTTCTTTTGATTTTCCCATGATGTCAAGCAAAGAGGCACTGAGTTTGAAGGTAGGCCTTGAAATACATCCACAGGTACACCTCCAATTGACTCAAAGTATGTCAATTTGCCTATCAGAAGCTTCTAAAAATGTTCCAAGCTGTTTAAAGGCACTGAAAACTTAGTGTAGGTAAACTTCTGAACCACTGGAATTGTGATACAGAGAATTATAAGTGAAATAATTTGTCTGTAAACAATTGTTGGAAAAAATTACTTAGTCATGCACAAAGTAGATGTCCTAACCGACTTGCCAAAACTATAGTTTGTTAGCAAGAAATTTGTGGAGTGGTTGGAAAAATAGTTTTAATGACTCCAACCTAAGTATATGTAAACTTCCGACTTACATTTGAGCAGACGCTCTTATCCAGAGCGACTTACAGTTAGTGAGTGCATACATTTTCATACTGGGCCCCCGTGGGAAACGAACCCACAACCCTGGCGTTGCAAGCACCATGCTCTACCAACTGAGCTACACGGGACTTCAACTGTACGTGATATCAACAGAGATGTATATTTTCTGGTTTATTTAAATATTGACTGGCTTTCATCAAGCTGCCAACTCAAGAAAAAGCTTCAAACTGTAACCAGTGCATGCAACCGGGTTCAGGTTATCAGTCAATCTATCAGGGTAGTTACAAACAGCACAGGAATGAAATCATCAACTTGTATTGATCACATCTTTACTAATGCTGCAGGAATTTGCTTTAAAGCAGTATCCAAATCCATCGGATGTAGTGATCACAATATGGTAGCCATATCTAGGAAAACCAAAGTTCCAAAGGCTGGGCTAAATATAGTGTATAAGAGGTCATACAATACGTTTTGTAGTGATTCCTATGTTGTTGATGTAAAGAATATTTGTTGGTTCCTGGTGTGTAATGAAGAGCAAACAGACGGTGCAAAAATTGTGTTTGACCAGATACAATGCTATTTTACAGTAAACACATTGACAACAGACTGGGAATGGGACCGTAATTGATATTTATTAACTGACCTGATTAAAAAAGAACAGAGATTATGTGGGATTTTACCCAATATGGCCTTATAAATCACTCGGGCTCCTGAGTGGTGCAGCGGTCTAAGGCACTGCATCTCAGTGCTTGAGGCGTCACTACAGACCCCTTGGTTCGATTCCAGGCTGTATCACAACCGGCCGTGATTGGGAGTCCCAAAGGGCAGCGCACAATTGGCCCAGTGTCGTCCGGGTTTGGCCGGTGTAGGCCGTCATTGTAAATAAGAATTTGTTCTAAACTGACTTGCCTAGTTAAATAAAAAACCAGTGTTTAAGCCTATGCATTTACAATCCAGGGTTACTCCAAGCAGTTTAGTCACCTCAATGTCCACATTATTTAGTTGAGGTTTAGGGTTAAGTGAATGATTTGTCCCAAATACAATGCTATTAGTTGTAGAAATATTTAGGATTAACTTATTCCTTGCCACCCACTCAAACTCACTGCAGCTCTTTGTTAAGTGTTGCAGTCATTTCAGTCGCTGTAGTAGCTGACGTGTATAGTGTTGAGTCATCCGCATACATAGACACACTGGCTTTACTCAAAGCCAGTGTCATGTCGTTAGTAAAGATTGAAAAAAGTAATGGGTCTAGACAGCTGCCCTGGGGAATTCCTGATTCTACCTGGATTATGTTGGAGAGGCTTCCATTAAAGAACACCCTCTGTGTTCTGTTAGACAGGTAACTCTTTATCCACAATATAGCAGGGGGTGTAAAGCCATAACACATACGTTTTTCCAGCAGCAGACTATGATCAATGATGTCAAAAGCTACACTTAAGTCTAACAAAAGAGCACCCACAAATTTGATCATCAATTTCTCTCAGCCAATCATCAGTCATTTGTGTAAGCGCTGTGCTTGATGAATGTCCTTCTCTGTAAGCGTGCTGAAAGTTTGTTGTCAATTTGTTTACAGTAAAATAGCATTGTATCTGGTCAAACAACCATTTTTTCCAATAGTTTACTATTGGCTGGTAACAGGCTGGTTGGTCAGCTATTTGAGCCAGTAAAGGGGGCTTTACTATTCTTAGGTAGCGGAATGACTGTTGCTTCCCTCCAGGCCTGAGGGCACACACTTTCTAGTAGGCTTAAATTGAAGAGATGGCCAATAGGAGTGGCAATACAGTCCGCTGTCATCCTCAGTAAATAGTGGCTTGTCATTGTTGATAGACAACTATTATTTTTCCACCAGACATAATGGGACCCCATGTTATCCAAAACGTTGAATCATCTGTCCATAGAACATTCTTCCAGTCTCGATGATCATCCAGGTGTTTTTTGGCAAACTTTAGTCAAATCTTTGGACGAGATGGGTCCCATTATGCCTGGTGAAAACCAAACACTGCATTCCACAGTAAGAACCTCATACCAACGGTCAAGCATGATGGTGGTGTGATGGTTTGGGGATGCTTTGCCGACTATGAATTCTGCTCTGTATCAGAGAATTCCTGTGTAGCTCAGTTGGTAGAGCATGGCGTTTGCAATGCCAGGGTTGTGGGTTTGATTCCCACAGGGGGCCAGTATGAAAAATGTATGCACTCACTAACTGTAAGTCGCTCTGGATAAGAGCGTCTGCTAAATGACTAAAAATTTAAATGTAAAATTCTCCAGGAGAATATCAGGCCATCCGTCTGTGGGCTGAAGCACAGCTGGGTCGTGCATCAAGACAATGATCCAAAACACACAGTAAAGTCTACATGAAAATTGCTAAAAAGCAACACATTGGAAGTTTTGGAATGTCAAAGTCCAGACCTAATCCCAATTGAGATGTTGTGGCAGGACTTGAAATGAGCAGTTCATGCTTGAAAACCCACAAATGTTGCTTAATTAAACCAGTTCTGCATGGAAGAGTGGGCCAGAATTCCTCCACAGCAATGTAAGAGACTGATCAACAACTACAGGAAGAGTTTGGTTGGAGTCACTGCAGCTAAAGGTGGCACAACCAGTTATTGAGTGTAAGGGGGCAATTACTTTTTCACACAGGGGAATTGGATGTGGCATAGCTTTGTTAATTAAATAAATAAAATAAGTATTACATTTTTGTTATTTGTAAACTCAGGTTCCCTTTATCTAATATTAGGTTTTGGTTAAAGATCTGATAACATTCAGTATCAGAAATATACAAAAATAGAGAAAATCAGAAAGGGGGCAAAGACCTTTTCATGGCAGCCAGGAGAGTTACCCTGCTACCACGGAACATGTGAGAATGTACCCCTGGCCTGCTCTGTACCCCTGGCTTGGCTAACCGGCTGACTGGCTGACTGGCTAACTGGCTGGCTAACTGGCTGGCTGGCTGGCTGGCTGGCTAACTGGCTAACTGGCTGGCTAACTGGCTGGCTGGCTGGCTGGCTGGCTGGCTGGCTGGCTAACTGACTGACTGACTGGCTGGCTAACTGGCTGACTGGCTGACTGGCTGGCTGGCTAGCTGACTGGTTGAATGGTGAACTTGCTGACTGACTGAATGGCTGGCTAACTGGCTAACTGGCTGACTGGCTGGCTGGCTGGCTGGCTGGCTGGTTGGCTAACTGACTGACTGACTGGCTGGCTGGCTGGCTAACTGACTGACTGACTGGCTGGCTGACTGGCTAACTGGCTGACTGGCTGGCTAGCTGACTGGTTGAATGGTGAACTTGCTGACTGACTGAATGGCTGGCTAACTGGCTAACTGGCTGACTGGCTGGCTGGCTGACTGACTGGCTGACTGGTTGAATGGTGAACTTGCTGACTGACTGAATGGCTGGCTAACTGACTGGCTGGCTGGCTGGCTGGTTGGCTAACTGACTGACTGGCTGGCTGGCTGACTGACTGGCTGACTGGTTGAAGGGTGAACTTGCTGACTGACTGAATGGCTGGCTAACTGGCTGACTGCTTCTCCTAAATGGTTTCAGAATCACTTCCCTGACCTGATATGTTCTGTTACACGTGTTATTTCCATATGGTTGTCAAACGCATCTGAACAGAATAATAAAGACTGGCTATTCAAGCTATTTAGAAACAATGAATGCATAGATAACTGGGTCAACTGGCTGCTGCAAACGTTTAGCTATTGTAACCTACAGACCAGAGATACATTCAGAGGCCAGTTGAACTAAACACTTCGAAACCCCTAAACTTTCTGGTATCATTACACCACTATATCATTTACATTTTAGTCATTTAGCAGACGCTCTTATCCAGAGCGACTTACAGGAGCAATTAGGGTTAAGTGCCTTGCTCAAGGGCACATCGACAGATTTTTCACCTAGTCGGCTCGGGGATTAGAACCAGCGACCTTTCGGTTACTGCCACAACGCTCTTACCCACTACGCTACATTGTATCAACCAAGTACTGCATAATGATGAGACTGTAATGTAACAACACTACCTTGCTATTTAACGTCGAGGTGCCGCACATCCCACACCGTGTCAGCAGAGTTCCCCGGTCACAGGGCTGGCTGAGCAGGGTGTTCGCTGCCCGGTGTAGGACACTCAGCGCCTTCATGATTCTGCTGCTGTGATGTCCGGTTCTCTCCGCTGCCTCCTGTTTCTCTAATCTAGTTCAATCTTGTTCGAACCCTTCATATATCGCTGAAGGCATGATGTGACGACACATAGGAGGTGGTCCTACAAAACACAATGTGGTACGCGGTAGTGCGGTGCGGCGGAGGAGCGGTGCAGTGGAGGAGCTGTTCTGTTTAGTAGTGGAACGTCAAAATGATCTTTAGCGGACGCGGTATTTCAAGGTCCCCCAGGATTCACACGCTGCGACACTAGACTGGATTCGACTGATTCAAGGAAACATTCATGCGTTTTGTACTACGGTATTTTAGATCAATCAAACACATTTGAACATGTATGAGAGAGCTAAACAGCTCATCTGTGGTCAGTGAGGCGCGTTATGCTTGCCAGCTGTCAGTTTACTAATGGAAGACTCCAATATGCCCCCGGTCCTGAATTGAGCAAAATGTTATTTATAGACTACATTATTATTAGGCTACATAGTAATTAAAGTTCCAGCCACACAAACTCAGTATTTATCAACATTTTAATTTACAATTTAAATCAAGACATATAACTATTTATTACTGATTTCAAGTGATCTATACCCAAAAGGTGTCTGGTAACTGAAGATGAGTTTTTAGCTCCCATTGTACCAACTCTGATGACATCAGACTGACATTTAAAGAATTTGATATCAAGAATATAAGTAATTTATTTGTCTTCACATTGTCAATACACCTAAAAAGAGGATGCAGACTCCCACAGTCACACTGGAACACAGGGCTAGAACAGGGTTATTCTTCCTCAATAACCACTAGATTAGAACAGGGTTATTCTTCCTCACTAACCACTAGATTAGAACAGGGTTATTCTTTTTCACTAACCACTAGATTAGAACAGGGTTATTATATCTCACAAACCATTAGATTAGAACAGGGTTATTCTTCCTCACTAACCACTAGATTAGAACAGGGTTATTCTTCCTCACTAACCACTAGATTAGAACAGGGTTATTCTTCCTCACTAACCACTAGATTAGAACAGGGTTATTCTTCCTCACTAACCACTAGATTAGAACAGGGTTATTCTTCCTCACTAACCACTAGATTAGAACAGGGTTATTATATCTCACAAACCATTAGATTAGAACAGGGTTATTCTTCCTCACTAACCACTAGATTAGAACAGGGTTATTCTTCCTCACTAACCACTAGATTAGAACAGGGTTATTCTTCCTCACTAACCACTAGATTTAGAACAGGTTATTATATCTCACAAACCATTAGATTAGAACAGGGTTATTCTTCCTCACTAACCACTAGATTAGAACAGGGTTATTCTTTCTTCACTAACCCACTAGATTAAACAGGGTTATTCTTCCTCACTAACCACTAGATTAGAACAGGTATTCTTCCTCACTAACCACTAGATTAGAACAGGGTTATTCTTCCTCACTAACCACTAGATTAGAACAGGGTTGTTCTTCCTCACTAACCACTAGATTAGAACCGGGTTACTCTTCAACATTAACCAGTAGATTAGAACAGGGTTGTTCTTCCTCACTAACCACTAGATTAGAACCGGGTTACTCTTCAACATTAACCAGTAGATTAAAACAGATTTATTCTTCCTCACTAACCACTAGATTAGAACCGGGTTGTTCTTCCTCACTAACCACTAGATTAGAACCGGGTTACTCTTCAACATTAACCAGTAGATTAAAACAGATTTATTCTTCCTCACTAACCACTAGATTAGAACCGGGTTACTCTTCAACATTAACCAGTAGATTAAACACGATTATTCTTCCTCACTAACCACTAGATTAGAACAGGGTTACTCTTCAACATTAACCAGTAGATTAAAACAGATTTATTCTTCCTCACTAACCACTAGATTAGAACAGGGTTGTTCTTCCTCACTAACCACTAGATTAGAACAGGGTTATTCTTCCTCACTAACCACTTGATTAGAACAGGGTTATTCTTCCTCTGTAACCACTATATTAGAACAGGGTTATTATTCATCAATAACCACTAGATTAGAACAGGGTTATTCTTCCTAACTAACCACTACATTAGAACAGGGTTATTCTTCCTCACAAACCATTAGATTAGAACAGGGTTATTCTTCCTCGCTAACCACTAGATTAGAACAGGGTTATTCTTCCTCACTAACCATCAGAATAGAACAGGGTTATTCTTCCTCACTAACCACTAGATTTTGAACAGGGTTATTCTTCCTCGCTAACCACTAGATTAGAACAGGGATATTCTTCCTCACTAACCACTAGATTAGAAAAGGGCTAGAACAGGGTTATTCTTCCTCACTAACCACTAGATTAGAAAAGGGCTAGAACAGGGTTATTCTTCCTCACTAACCACTAGATTAGAACAGGGTTATTATTCCTCACTAACCACTAGATTAAAACAGATTTATTCTTTCTCACTAACCATAGATTAATAACACAGGGTTATTATTCCTCACTACCACGAGATTAGAACATGTTATTCTTCCTCACTAACCACTAGATAGAACAGGGTTGTTCTTCCTCCTCACTAACCACTAGATTTAGACACGGTTTATTCCTTCCTCACTAACGCAATAGATTAGAACAGGGTTGTTCCTTCCTCACAAATAACCACCTAATTAGAACAGGTTATTCGTCCTCACGACCCACTAAGATATAACACGGTGATTCTCTTCACTAACCACTAGATTAGAACAGGGTTATTCTTCCTCACTAACCACTACATAAACAGGGTTAGTGCTTCTCACTAAACCACTCGATTGAAACAGGGTTATTCTTCCGCACTAACCCAGATTAAGAACAGGGTTATTATTCTCACTAACCACTAGATTAGAACAGGGTTATTCTTCCTCACTAACCATAGATTTAGAACAGGGTTATTCTTCCTCACTACCACTAATTAGAACATGGTTATTATCCTCACTAACCAACTAGATTAGAACAGTTATTCTTCCTCACTAACATATTAGAACAAGGTTATCCTTCCTCACTAACCCCTATATTAGAACAGGGTATTCTTTCCTCACTACCACTAGATTAGAACAGGTTTTGTTTCTTCTTCACTAACCACTAGATTTTAGAACAGGTTTATTCATTCATCACACTACCCTCTAGATTAGAACAGGTTTATTCTTCCTCACTAACCACTAGAATTAGAACAGTTATTATCCTCATTAAACCACTAGATTAAACAGGTTGTTCTTCTCACTAACAACTAGATTAGAACACGGTTATTCGTCATCACTAACACTAATTATAACATGGTTATTCTTCTCACTAACAGATTAGAACAGGGTTATTCTTCCTCACGACCACTAGATTAGAACGGGTTGGTGCTCCTCCCTAACCGCTAGATTAGAATTGGGTTGTTATTCTCACTAACCACTATATTAGAGAACAGTGTATTTTTTCTCACAACCACTAGATTAGAACAGGGCTAGAACAGGGTTAATCATCTTCACTAACCATTAAATTAGAACAGGGTTGTTCTTCCTCACTAACCACTAGATTAGAACAAGGTTATTCTTCCTCACTAACCACTAGATTAGAACAGGGTTGTTCTTCCTCACTAACAGATTAGAACAGGGTTATTCTTCCTCACTAACATATTAGAACAGGGTTATTCTTCCTCACTAACCACTAGATTAGAACAAGGTTATTCTTCCTCACTAACCACTAGATTAGAACAGGGTTGTTCTTCCTCACTAACCACTAGATTAGAACAGGGTTATTCTTCCTCACTAACCACTAGATTAGAACAGGGTTTTCTTCCTCACTAACCACTAGATTAGAACAGGGTTATTCTTCCACACTAACAGGTTAGAACAGGGTTATTCTTCCTCACTAGCCTCTAGATTAGAACAGTGTTATTCTTCCTCACTAACAGATTAGAACAGGGTTATTCTTTCTCACTAACCACTAGATTAGAACAGGGTTATTCTTCCTCACTAACAGATTAGAACAGGGTTATTCTTCCTCACTAACATATTAGAACAGGGTTATTCTTCCTCACTAACCACTAGATTAGAACAGGGTTATTCTTCCTCACTAACCACTAGATTAGAACAGGGTTATTCTTCCTCACTAACGACTAGATTAGAACAGGGTTATTCTTCCTCACTAACAGATTAGAACAGGGTTATTCTTTCTCACTAACCACTAGATTATAACAGGGTTATTATTCCTCACTAACAGATTAGAACAGGCTTATTCTTCTTCACTAACCACTAGATTAGAACAGGGTTATTCTTCCTCACTAACCACTAGATTAGAACAGGGTTATTCTTCCTCACTAACCACTAGATTAGAACAGGGTTATTCTTTCTCACTAACAGATTAGAACAGGGTTATTCTTCCTCACTAACCACTAGATTAGAACAGGGTTATTCTTCCTCACTAACCACTAGATTAGAACAGGGTGATTCTTCATCAATAACAACTAGATTGGGACAGGATTATTCTTCCTCACTAACCACTAGATTATAACAGGGTTATTCTTCTTCACTACCAATAGATTAGAACAGGGTAGTCTTCCTCACTAACCACTAGTTAGAACCGGTTATTCTTCCTCAATAACCACTAGTTGAAACAGGGTTTATTCAGTCTCACTAACAGATTTATCGAACAGGGTTATTCTTCCTCCTAACCACTATATTAGGACAGGTTATTCTTCATCAATAACAACTAGATTAGAACAGGGGTTATCTTGTCCTCACGAACCACTATATTAGAACAGGGCCTAGTCTTCATCAATAACACTATATTGACAGGGTTATTCTTCCTCACTAACCACTATATAGAACAGGGTTATTCTTCTTCACTAAGCAATAGATTAGAACAGGGGTTATTCTTCCTCAATAACCACTAGATTAGAACAGGGTTATTCATTCTCATAACAGATTAGAACAGGGTTATTCTTCCTCACTAACCACTAATTAGAACCTGGGGTCGCTCTTCATCAATAACAACTA